CGCCATTCAGTGGCTTTATCAATACAAATTCCAGGACATAACTTGAAGACAGTAGGACTATATACAGAAGATGAGGTAATCAGTCCCTCAACCTTGGAGTAGGTGCGAAGAGCACCATAGTCGTGGAGATTCAGAATCTCCAAGGTTGAGGCTCGGACTGATTACCTCATGTTCTGTATATAGTTCTACTGTCTTCAAGTTATGTCCTGGAATTTGTATCGATAAAACCACTGGGTGGCGAAACGTCTACAATGAAGATACTCAGATGTTGCACATGTGTCTTAATTTCATCTTGTCGGTATTATATACCATTCTTGCACAAGTAATAAGACATTTAATGCGGCTGTGTCTCGCTTATCAGTTTTTTTTTTCACGTTAATACCAACACTAATGCATGGACACTGAGGACACATAAAATATACATTATTTGGATACTTTTTGCGCGCTGACAACCTTCGCAAATATACAGTTTCCTACTAGACTGCGTAACAGAAAAGGTAACCCGAGGTTACCAGTGCCATCTGCTTTACTACTTCTACTAGTACTAGTACATTCTTCAAGAATGCCCTACATTCTGGACGCAAATTATTTTCTGCATATATTCTGTGTCCAGGCATTGCGTTCATCGCGTCTTGGTGATGAACACCTGATAAACTAAAACTTCAAGAGTTTTGAGGTCACTGTGTTGGACACAGCTGCTTTGAGCACACGACATTTCTGCAAATCACTCTCCTTCAGTAACAATCTATCTTCTTTCCATTTCATTCCTTGTCCTCATGAGTTGTTGTGAACCACACAGGGGTTAGGCAAATTGTCTGCCATTAATGCATATATATGTTCCTCACTTAGGGGTCCAAGTTTTTGAATGTTTAGCCCACATAGACCCGCACACAGGATGATCCACACTCCCACGCTGGTTTCAATCACTCTGGTGGGTCTCTTCTTTACCAAATCTTCTTAATGGTGGATGACGAGCTGGTAGCCATATTCACTTTGTGATTAGCACGAGTTTGAGCGATGTTACTTGCCACCTGACCTATTAGCGAATGTCATACCTGGACTGCAGAGGTCAAATGTGGAGGAAACTGAAGGAGAGTTAAATGCATGTAAAATGTGGTCATACTCCTTTTCGAGGAACTGTGGGCTGATAAATAAGACACATGTGCAACTCTTGGGTATCTTTATTGAGGAAACGTTTCGCCACACAGTGGCTTCATCAGTCCATACATTCATCTACAACTGTGGGCTGCAGATCTCGTGGGCTTTGAGGAAGAACCCGATGACAACGCCTCTGATAGTACGAGTGCCATGATGTGAGGAAAAAAATGTATCAGGTTGTCTTTGTTCGGGGTTTTCCCGTATACTTTGAAAGTAAGTTTTTACCCACCTGTGCCTGGGAGGACGTTCAAGAAAGTGAGTCTGTCCATTTTGTCCTCAAGAGTGAATTTAATAGAACGCTTCACTCTAGATTTTGGTTAGCACATTGTTGATGTTGAATCTTACAGGATAAATAACCAGTGTTATTTACATAGCACATTCATTAAGTTATGCTGCTGAAGATGAGTTTGACGCTTTCGAATTTCCTGTTCCATATGAAGGCCAGCTAGCTAGCACAGCACTAATAAGTGAGTCTATGGCCTCCAAGAGACACTGTTTATCTTTACTTTCCCCGTAACAGACACAAATATAATTGACGCAGAGTTCGACGAGGTCAGCAAAGTCATTGCTTGGCAGCTGGAGTTTCGCATCTTTTTGGGACTTTGCTACTTAGTAGCAGCGCGACTGCTTACGTGGTAGCAACTTTGGTGAAAAGAATAACACCAAAACTTATAACATATAAAATATAATAATATAACTATTTCTACAAGTACATGTACAAGGTATACAGGCCTAGCTGACATCAATGACATACTACTACATAGAAAGCCCCTTGTTATGCAGAGGATTTCGGGCAATAAAGGTTGTTTTTTTGTTTTCTCAGGATGCTATCCACACCAGTCGACTAATACCCAGGTACCCATTTTACTGATGGATGAACATGGACAATAGGTATAAGGAAACGCCCAGTGTTTCCACCCTTGCCGGGAATCGAACCCGGACACTCAGCATGTGAAGTAAGAGCTTTGCCAACCAGGCCACGAGCCTTATATTGATGTCCTACGTTTGGCTCATGAGACAAGACTGACTGTTCCTAAAAGTCTAAAGAAGTGCGTGGAGAGGAGACCCGCAAGTCTTGTGAGGGGTACTGCACATACCTGAAGTAATCATTCTGATTGGAACTTTGGGTTACTGATTTTGTGCAACCCATAGAGTTTGGAATGTCTGGGGTTACTAGGCTCGAGGTATATTATTTATGTGGCTTGTTCATTCCTCTGAATTATATTTCGGGGTTTTGCCGAGTAATTTCTTAGTAGCAGTTTGCCACTGATACTCTGTTTGGCTATATATTTTGGTACTGTATACCGGCATATTCACAACAACTATCCTACCTCTGTGGAGAAAACTTCTCCAGGAGGGGGGAGTATCAGCCCCTTTAAGCCCTCTGAGGGACTTAGCCCTCCAGAGGGACTGATAGCATAGTTTCTTGGTCAACACTTTAATTTGGAACGAGTCCGTACCCGGACGTACCAATAGGCCATGTTATGGCTGACCAGTGTTGCAATCATGTGTAGATTAATAAGAGAAAATCGATCTCTTACCTTGGCAGGACAGTTAAGAAAAATCCTGCACCCACTTTATTACCATGTTAAAGATAGCATGAATTGTCTATGCCTAGACAGCCAGAATCAAGCATTCTGCATTGCTTCATGGTGGAAATTTGGCAATGAAAGGAAATTTCCTTGAATCAGCTTTTTCCTTTGTGGCTAGGGGCAGCAGAGGCGGAGGGCACTGTGGCGCCTTCAGATAGCTTTAAAACCTGCAAGGGGGAACATTAATGCCGGGATAATGAACAAAGAACACTAATCTGCGCGTTTTTGTGCTCAAAGACAATCTCGATAATAACAATAAACCTATTACAAAGAAGTGTACGGAGCTTCTTTAGTGACATTACGGTGAACAATAAACAAATCTTGATGAACAATGTGTAACCAACGAGTGTTGTGAATTTCCAGACTGAGTGGAAGATGTGTACACTCAAAGACACTTCTTCAATCAAGACACCGATAACCGAGTTGTTAGTAAGGGTCCGATACACAAACCCAGGTAAGTCTGCTTTGGCGTATGGTGGTTCTATTGACTGCGCAGTTGAGAACTAATGTACGATCTAGGTAGATTATCATAAACTCGGTAATAGGCGGGCTTTTTAGCCCAACACAAGTGAGTATAAGGCTCTTGTCAGTATTCAGTTATTCAATGAAATACTGACAACACCCCTAGGTGTAATTATACTTATAACCACTTGTTCCCGACAGTCATGTGGTCGTAGAACATCTATTTCACATCGAAGGTGACAGTCGTCAGAGGCTGCGATTGGGTAAAGACAGCAACAAAGCTAAGCATCCTCAATATTGATATAGAGTTACTTTGTTTGTTCTACAAGCTTATTTAACCATAATTTGGTGAGATAAATTTTACCACAACTTCCTTCATTAGCGGTAGTGAGATTAATACTGTCGTCTCCGGCGAGGTCTGAGAGTATTAAGATTATAATAGCAGGGTATGATGGGTTTGGTAGGTTCAGTGAAGGCTGCCATGATAATGCCTTGCAAGAATCCTGTTTGAAACTCGGTATCTTGGAAATGATGGTGTTTAGGTTTTCTTATTCCAGTGGTGAGTTTTAGCTGCTCCATTTGGTATTAGATCATAGGTATCAAAACTTCCGTTTAACCTGACTCTGTTGAAGGATGACTGCTTCTGTGTATGATGACTGATATGTAAGATGACTGCTTCTGTGTATGATGACTGATATGTAGGATGACAGCATCTTTGTAAGATGACTGCTTCTTTGTATGTTGTTTGTTAATTTTATAGTACATCGGTTCTGTTTATAAGTTGGGTGTTGTTTTTGTGAGACTACTTCCATTATTGTGAGATTACTACTGTTCTTATGTGTTGACTCCTATTTTTTACTGTAATATTACCATTTTTTGTGAGACGACTCCTATTTTTGTGTTGTGATTGCTGCTTTTGTAAAATGGCTATTTTTGTGAGATAGCTGCTGTTTTTGTGAGTTGACTGCTATTTTTATGAAAACTGCTATTTTTATAAGCTGGTTACTTTCTGGGGAGATGGCTGGTATTTTTTATCAGATACCGGCTATATTTATAAGATACCGGCTATTTTAATAAGATACCGACTATTTTTGTAAGATAGCTGCTTTTAGTGTGAAATGACTGCGATTTTTGTAACATGGTTGCAGTTTCCTGTTAGATGTTTGCTATTTTTGTGAGATGGCTGATACATAGTCAGATGACTTATTTTGTTAAACGACATGCAAGCTTGAGATGTATACAAAGATAGAAATGAATGGAGAGAAAGAGAGAGAGAGAGATTAGAGACGAAAAGGGAAGGAATATACAGTCAAATCCCTAATTTTACGAGGGTTGCGTTTTTTTCATTCCCTGCAAATTTCAAATGAGCGAATAAATCACATTATTCAGAGGTCTGTCTCTTTAAATATTACTCTAATATGATTAATATTGAGAGTCACGTGGAAGAACTGTCAAGACAGAAATAATCTGTAAGCGTGGGAAATTCATTGAGTACATTTTGATTGAAGACCTGTGGTTAGTTTTCAGGTTTAAGTGCTGTGTGTCAAACCCCCGGCAAAAAAGGGACAGTGAAAAAAAAAATACAAAAAATAATAGAAGTTTTTTACAAAAGATCCTCAGTATAAACATTAAATAACTGAAGTACGCAAAATAGGACCTTCTTGATTTTAAAGTGAGTTTAAATGTGCTCACTTATGCATGAACATAATAAAACGGACAAGTATAATAAACTATCTCAATTGGTTACACAAGGAACACTGTCAAGTGAACTAGAGAAGCACACTATACCTGGGGATAATGATGAGCTGGACGATGGTGATGAAGATAATAGTGATCCAGGAGAAGACAAAGTATGCCAGCAGCATCTTGTCACGCTCCTTGGAGTACTGTATAGGAAAAACAAAGATGTCGACCAAATCT